CCCTTAGGACCCCCTCACTCCCTTCCTGGATGGGGGCTGTCCTGGGCAGGGTCCTGAGCTGACCATACAAACACGAGAAAAACAGGTTTGGGCTCCTCACCTGAGACCAGGAGCTCTACGGTGTCACTGGGGTGTGACCACCGCTCGGGGATGTTCCTGTAACGGCCATAACATTTGAATGTCCACCTGTGGCTGGTGGTCACAGGGCCCACAGGGAACAGGGCCTGGGAATCCCCACTGGGATGTCGCTGTGAGTCCAAAGCCCAGGGGGGGCTGTGTTCTCCTTCCTTAGTCAGAATGAAGATGCCAAATCCTTCCTGTGAGCCACACAGGAGGGTCACATTCTCTCCTGAGGTCATGTCAGGGCTCGGCTGGGCTAAGAGGTAGGGTTTGCTGTAGACCCCTAGGAGAAGAGGAGGCAGTATATTAAATGGGGCTCTCACCTCCCTCACAACCCCAGAGCTGGATGTGAGGGGGAGACACCCTGAGAGCAGACCCCCTTCCTGAGGGCACAGCCAGGGACTTGGACACTGAGTGTCCTCTCACCTGTCACCACCAACTCCAGGGGTTCACTGCGCTCTGACCAGCCAGCGGGGTTGAGATAGTAACAGCCATATCTCCCTGCAGTGTGCTCTGTCATGTGTGTGATGAGGTACTTGGCCTTGTTCCCGGGCTCTAGTGGGTTCAGTGTGTACCAGGGTGCTGTGCTTCCCTCTCTATCCACACGGAACTTCTGGGCCTTCAGAGTCCCCTGACACCAGATGGTCACAGGGCTCCCCCAGAGGATCACAGAGCCTGGCTCAGCCCAGATGGTGGGTTTGGGGAGGGTCCCTGGAAGGAATCAGAGGCTGAATTAGAGACATTCCCCACCTCCAGTTCCCAGCTCTCAATCTCAAACCTCCCAGACAGGCCCCATCTGTCAGCCCAGATCTGTTGTTCTCCATCTCCAGCTGCCCATGGGATGGCCCCTTGTCCCCAGTGAGATGGGACCTGGGACACTTGGGGACAGACTCACCTGCCTGCACTTGGGTCCTCGGCCTCACGCTCAGTCCTGTAAATGAGTGAGAGAATTGCCCCTGACTCCTGAGCAGAGCCCTTCTCCGCATAAGCCTCCTGAGCCCTGGGGTCTCCTGACAGAACAGGGCTTGGCTGAGGGACAGGGTTTCTTCCAGACCAGGGCTTCCCTCCCCCTTGTCAATCTCACCAAGGCAAAGCAGGGCTATGAGGGTGGGGATCATGGCGTTTCCTTCCTCTGGTCTGGGCTGTGCGGATGAAGGAAACTGCAGAACCTCAGGACAGACAGACCCACAGGGAGTAGTCACTCAGAGGCTGTCCCTCCCTCTCATGGGGTTGTCATGGCAGCAGCTCCACAGAAAGAGGAACAACCCCTCCCCAGGAGCCTGGCTTCATTTCTAGGATATAGAAATGATATAGAACAGCAAATGGACCTGGTGAGTTCCTGAGACACCTCTCCCAGGTGAGGTGACTCAGGGCATGTCCTGTCCTCTCATAGCCTCCCCATGGGGTCTCCTTCATCCTTAGCCTGTCTGTCTATCAGCACCTCTCTGTGGGGTCCTCATCATGGAATGTGGTCACCCAGGCCCTGGAGAAGCTTCAGGAAGACATGAGTTCCTGCTGCCGAGCTCAGATCAGCAGATACACACATTTAACATCTCACTGTGCCATTCAGGGAGTGGCTTTTGTGCCATTCAATGAGCACAAAAGGAAAGTACAGGAAGATAACGGAAGGGAACATAACCTTTCTTCTGGCTCAGAGTGTGGCTTTTTTTTTAATCCTAGCCCTCGTCACACACTTCTCCCTTCTCTTAGTGATGGCATGTACCCCACCTTCCTGGAACAAACCTCTGAGTCATTCCTGCTCCTCAGTGCCCTTTGTTCCTTGGCAGAGCTGTCCCCTCATCCTGTGGTCCCACATGTAAGCTTTAGGGGACTGTTATTTGCTGTATCCAGAGCAGCTAGTCGAACGGGCCGGAGTGGGGGCAACGGAGGACTAAAAAAGACAAAGAAATAATTGAAAGCGGGGGCTCGGTGGACAGCTGCCTCCTGATGGGAGAGCAGTGACCCAGTCTAGCAGCTGTGCTTTACTTATATAGTCTTGCTTATACAGGGGCAGGAAAGGGGAGGAGATAGCCTTGGGCAGGGAACTTGCCAGTGCATCAGCTGCAGATTGTTAGCAACCAATGCCTCGGACTCAAGATGCTTAGTACCCAATGTATTGAAACCACCTGCGGGTGCCGGAAACCTCCGTATGCTGAGGTGTTGCACCAGCCTTGCTAAGGATGCAGCCAGAAAGTGTGCCTTGCACCAGCCTCTCCTTTACAGCTCCGGATGGGTCTCTCAGTCCCCAACAGTTATTTGGGTTAGAGTTTTAATTTTTAAGAGAAAGATGACCTTTATGTAAGTATTTATCTATCACCCATTGCCTGTGTGACCTGGACAATAACACATTATATACTTCTTTGTCTGTTTCCTTACTTGGATCACAACGTCATGAACCCCATTCCTTGGCAATTTCAGGTGTTACTGTTTCCTGTTCATGACATGGGGTCAATCACTGTTGACTTTTAGGCCAGGTCATGAGCGGGTCACAGTATCAGATTCCAGTCATGGTGGATGTTTGTTGCATTCACTCCAGAGCCCTTGTCTGCATCAAATACCAATAAATGCTACTCAATATTTCTGAAATACGTAGACATAGTCCTTCGCAGAAAAAGAGAAATGAAATTTCCCCAAACAGACAGGAAACCACAAGAAAAAACAGAGAACAAAGCTGAGTAGCTGCCTGTACCCAGGACCATCAAGGGGCTGTACGGTGGAGGTTTCCAGCTGTGTGGACACAGAGAGGGACCCCAGGTCATCACAGCAAAGGAGGGTCAGGTCTCAGGTATAGATTGGAAGCTGTGGTACCCCCTACCTAGTGTCTGTGGGCAGGCACAGGAATATCTCTGCTCACTGACCCAGGCCCATTGTCAGCACTGAGTCACCTCCCTATGACTGTGTGTCAGCAGAAGCTCTGGTGAATCTTCAACTTCCGCTGAAATGTGAGCATGAGGCCAGCAGTGACATGTCCCTGCTTAATCCTGAACAGATGCTAAGTCTGAGAGAGTGGACACCATGAAGAAGGAGAAGCTGCAATTATCCCTTTTTGTCAGGCTGACTCCCAGGACAGCCCTGGGAGAAACCTTTCTAGTGTGTGGGAGGAGTGCCTTCCAACAAGAATGGACAATGGGAAGTAATCCTAATAATGACAAACAGTGATATGGACAGCAAGCTACTGATAATGGGGATGATCATATCCAACAAAATATAATCAATAGGAATATACGAAAGTTACTTAAAATTAAGCATGTTTAAATATCTGAAAAAATAGAGGGGGATATTAAATTATTGAGGCAAGACTATGGATTATATTACAGAAAAATAGGCAATTATTGAAATGATTTAGAAATATTAGAGATGGAAAATCCAATAGAATGAACACATTAAAAAATACATTCCAAGAGATCCAATATGGCAGTGTAGGTAAACACTGTGCCTGCATCTTTCTGTGAACACATTGAAATTACAACCAAATTATAAAACAATCAACCTGGAGAACTATCTGAAGTCTAGCTGAACAGAAGTCCTACAACTAAAAATATAAAGAAGAAACCACGTCGAGACTGGTAGGAAGGGAAATAGTGGGGAAAAACTGGTGAAATAGGTCCCAAACCTCTATGTGGCACTTGAGAATCATGAGAGATATCTTGGCCATAGAGGTTCCCCCCAGAGACGTGAGGAACCCCAGCCCCACACCGGGCTCCCCAGCCTGAGTACTGGTGCCAGGAAGAGGAGCCCACACAATATCTGGCTGTGAAAAACAATGGGGATTCCGACCATTTAGATGGGACAGAAGGCTTTGGGAAACCCAGAAGTCCTCTTAAATGGCCTGGGCACAGACTCACTCTCTCGTAGGCACTCACCTTGGGCTCCAGCAGAGGGGCAGTGACTTGGGAGGCCTCAGAGACAAACGGGGGGCAGACTGAGGTGTGTGTTTTCAGGGGGAGAACTGGAGGACAGTTGGCATTATCCCAGTGAGGGGTCCTCTTCCCATGCTGCAGGCAGGCAGGCACCATCTTTCCTATGTTGAGCCTGCCCCCACAGGTCAAATCTGAATCTGACTGGCCTGGTGAGCTCCACCGCACTACCTTGCTGACTCAGCTGGGACCCTGTCCCACCCAAAGCAATTTCCCCAAGAGCAGCCAGACCCATCCGCATTGCACAATTTCTTGCAAAACTATTGGAGTCCACAGGCCCCAGGTGGGCAGCGACCAACCTCAGTGTGCTCTGAGACTTTTGCTGATTCGCTTTGAGCTCAGCACTGGCACCAAGCCAGAGTCTACATTAACTCTAGTGACTCCCTGAGACCCTGTCTCACCCAACTCGTGTACAGCATGAGGCTTCATCAGTGGCTGAAACTTAAGGGAGCTGGCAGGTGGGAGCAGGCTTCTGGGTGTCCTGGCTTTTTGTGGAGTTACCCCAGGCCTGGTACTGGTGGTGTTAAGTAGAAGTTAGAAAATGCAGGAGAAGGAAGAAGGGTAGGAGGGGGTCCATAGTGCTTACAGAAAAGCTCATAACTAGCTTTGATTAATTGCCTCCAGTCACATAATAACAGCAGACAAGAGGTGGTCTGGAGCGAGATAAGGATCGGAGTCAACAGACCTCCATCCGTCTTAGGAGGTCATGCCTTCCCATGGAAGAGCATGCACAACCTTTTCCTGCCAAATTAATGTGTAACTCCCTCACCTCACCCAGCAAACTGTAAGTCCTCTAGACAAAAGCTCCCTTGCCCTGTTTCTGCGCCAGCTCTCTCACCCACATGCTCTCGCTCCCTCTCCCCCTCTCCCCTTCTGCCTCTCTTTCTGGCCCTCAAGCTCTCTCTTGTCCTCCCAGCACTCTTGCCCTCGCTCTCTCCCCCTTTCTCTCCCCTTCTCTCTCTCTCTCCTTCCCTCTCTCCCTTCCCCACCTCAGCTAGGCCTGTTCTCTGCCCTGAGAATGTATTACTAATAAACCTTGTTTGCATATTAATCAGCTTGCAGACCTTTTTTTAAAAGATTTTTATTGGGGAATTGGGGGATGGGAACAGCGCTAAGGAATTGGGGGAAGGGTAACAGACAAGTTGCTGTCCTTTTGTTCTTCAGTCTAGTTATGGAAGACATTGCTTCACTGGCCCAAGTTGGCACCACCATTGCGCTCTTCCCGGGTGAGGCCGATCAGTCGCCGGCTTCTGGACGGCCGCTCACTGCGGCTGCTGGCCGCTCACGCTGGCTGCTGGCTACACACGGTAGCCCATGGCAACCCACTGCAGCAGGGGCTGCAGCCTACGCCGTCGCCAGCGACTCACAGCAGCCCAGCTCCAGGTTGAGCTGTTGTACAGCATCTTAGCTGTGGAGGGCAGTGTCACTGGCCCTCATATGTGGGATCCGAACCGGGGCCCTCTGGCATCCCAAGCCTGCTCTTAACCAACACGCCACTCGGCCAGCCCTCAGCTTGCTGACCTTTGATTCTTCACTGTTTCGGCAACAAGAGCCAAGACTCCCATAACATTTTGGTGCCATGATTGAGATTGCATCCTTTGTCTCCAGCTATTTGGAATGCAGTGAGTACAGATTGGCAAGCTTTCTTGCTTTTCCCACCTTCAAAGGAGATTATCAGCCTATTTAGGCCTCTTTCCTTTACCTCTCAAATCTGCCTCTTGAACCCCTTTTTGAACACTATTGCCCAACAAGGGGTAACGCTAATACCAGCAGACTGCTAGGTGGAGGAACAAAGGGACAACTGCTTGCATGAGGGCTTGAGTGCTTCCTTCTGGGTGAAATAATCAAAATCATACCCTGGACTCTCCCCATTAGCTCTCTATAATTTCCCACTCCTGACTGAGCCTTTAGACTCCCCAAAGAATGTGGGAACTTCAAGGACTCTTTCTCAAACCCCAGAAATCCAGGAAAGGGCCAGGACAGTCTTGCCATTGTCTCAAATGCAGCCTTGCCACTGCCCATCCCCAGGGCAACTTGCCTCGCCCTAGCCAATTTTTCCCATTTCTGGATGGGGAATCAAGAGTCCATTCCTGCCGGTACCCCCTTGAGATGTGGCTTTTCTAATTGGTTGCAATTTGATCCTCAAAATTAAAAGAAAAAGGCCAAATAATTTTTTTTGGTAACACAGCTTGGCCCCAATATTAACTGGGGGAAGGGGAGGTTTGCCCTCTTAATGGGACCCTAAAGTATAACACAATTCTATAACTCAGCCTCTTGTAAATGTCTTGGAAAATGGTCAGAGATTCCTCCTATGCAAGTATTTTTGTATTTGAGGGGCCGTAGAGATTTATGTAAAAAGTGTAAACTTAGCCTTACTAATGTGGCACTTTCTCATCCCCTCAAATGCTCACTGAACCAACCCCAGGCCCAGGGACCCCAGAGAAGGCCCTTCGCTGCCTTCTTCGCCACCCCTGTAACCAGGGTCCCCAGCACAGCTGCTGGCCCCTGCTTCTCCTGCCCCTAAAGCTGCTCTCACAACTAAGCTCTTGCCCCTTGATAGAAAGCACAGGAGAATGTGGCCCCAACTAATACACAGACCCGTCTCCCTCATTGAGCTCAGACAAATTAAAGCTGACCTTGAGAAATATTCAGACAATCAGAACAAATATATCAATGCTTTCCAACACCTTACTTTAGCATATGAACTGACCTGGAAAAATGTGATGATAGTTCTGGGACAAACTTTGACAGACATTGAACAAGAAAAGGTAATTAAGGAGGCTGGAAGATTTGCTAACAGTTTACACCTGTCTGACAACAAATACCCTATAGGAGAAACAGCAGTCCCACCCATTCACCCTGAATGGAATTGCAATAGCAATTCCCCAAAGTGGGAGAGAAACCATTTCTTACTCTGTATTAAGGCGGGACTCAAGGCTGTCCATCAAAAGGCCATTAATTATTCTAAGGCGTCTTCCATTAGCCAGGGCCCAGATGAAGCTCCTATTACCGTCTTGGAAAGTCTGAGGGAAGCTCTCATTA